CAGTCATAATAGGTTAAGGTTCACCCAAATGACCTCATCTTCACTTGATCTGCAAAGACCCTATTTCCAAATAAGGTCATACAGACAGATACTGGGGGTTAAAACTTCAACATCCTTTTGGGGGATAGAATGACCATCCAGCAATTTTCCTGATAGCTGTAGTAGAATGAAATGAAATATGGCCTCATATTTATTTTGATATGCGTATGGGCATCTCTCCTCAGAGGTGTTTGGGCAATACAACGTAAGTAGGTCTTAGAAGGGTAGAAAGCCACGCACTGAATCTCCAGCAGAGTTAGTGAATCTCGGGCTGATGCTGGCATATAGGTGGTGCTCCAGCTATCAAACGTTTGCTGAGTGCATGGTTTCCAAAAGAGAGAAGATACTGCAAGAAGGAAGAGGAAAATAGGGAAAGTGATGAGAGGGGATATGGTCTGAGTTCTATAGCTTGCTGGGTCCCCAACTCTGGGGCTCAGTCTGGCCAGCACAACACTCAGGGACTGGTCTCTAGAGCGTCTGAGTTAGTCAGTGAGTCTAGGGGGAGGAAGAGACAGGTAGGGGAGTGGAGCCAAGGGATCAGGAGGGAAGCTGAGAGATTGGGAGGGTAGAGAAAGGGAGAGGAGAGAAAGCCAGAAAGTGGGAGGGAAAGAGGAAGAAAAGACATCAAAAGGGAGCCCTGCAAAGCAGATATTGGATAATGCTGTTTCCTCGAAGGCCACCAGGTGACAGTATTCGCAAGGACCAGCTGTCATTGACTACCAGGATGACAGGCTCCTTACTGATGTTAACCTAGTCAACTCATCTGTGGCTGGTATCTGTTGGTGTTTTTGGTTCCTCCTCACATCCATGCTGCCTTTTTCTGATAACATCAGTTCAATTTTGCTCGGGGGAACTCCCACACTTCTGTTAAGGTCTGCCATATATATATATATATATGCTTGCATAGGCACACTGCACAACTCCAGAGGATTCATCCATTTATTTATTTAAAAAATTTTTAATGTTTATTATTTTTGAGAGGGGGAGGGGAGGGGCAGAGAGAGACACACACACAGAATCCAAAGCAGGCTCCAGGCTCTGAGCTGTCAGCACAGAGCCTGACACGGGGCTCAAACTCACGAGCCGTGAGATCATGACCGGATCTGAAGTCAGACACTTAACTGATTGAGCCACCCAGGCACCCTGGATTCATCCATTTACATTGCTGAGTGGTATCTTCTGGAAGTGAGCAGTGCCAGACCTATACAACTGTCAATGGCAGTCACTGAATTGTGGTCTAGTAAGTTGCCCATCCTACTCCTGGCCTAGGCGGAACTGAGTCATTCTGATATGGATGCCTTGAAGCAACTGCCCATTAATTCCTATTATGTAGGTCTCTAGAGTTATCCTAGTTCTGGTTCTTTCCAACTCCAACAAATTCCTTTTTAATGCAGTTATTCAGAGATACTCTCTGTTGCCAACAAAGAATCTCAAGAAGTTGCAATCTACACCTCAAACCTTCCTCAAACCAGAAGCCAAATCACAGCAAAGCGTCTTGAGTATTAAGATTCAGCTAGTCTTTATTCATTATCCATCATTTCTTCATCCAACAAATATTTGTGGATACCTGCTACGTGCCAGGCACTGTTCTAGGCTCAGAAGCAACAGTGAAAAAAACAGACATGGCCCCTGCCTTCATGGAATCTGTCTATTCAGAAACGGGTGAGGGAGACCACAATATTTATTAGCCACAACTAGCTATAGCATTTCAAATAGCTGTATAATTCCGAATTGCGAGGAGCTTTGGGAGGGAAAAGGATGGAAGGCCGTGTGGAAGGTAGTTTTAAGTAGATAGCATTTATTTTAGGCTCACTAAGGGCAAGCACTTTCTTTTTTTTTTTTCTTTTTTTTTAAATTTTTTTTTTTCAACGTTTATTTTTGGGACAGAGAGAGACAGAGCATGAATGGGGGAGGGGCAGAGAGAGAGGGAGACACAGAATCAGAAACAGGCTCCAGGCTCTGAGCCATCAGCCCAGAGCCCGACGCGGGGCTCGAACTCCCGGACCGTGAGATCGTGACCTGGCTGAAGTCGGACGCTTAACCGACTGCGCCACCCAGGCGCCCCAAGGGCAAGCACTTTCTATGTCCCGTAGCAATCACCAGAACAATACTGCAGATTAAATACTACTGGGGGCCTTATTTCACAGATGTGATCACCAAGCCTACATTAAGTAGAAATAGATATCATTAATAATGTATAAATATACATAGGACTTTCCCAGGGGCTTTCAAAACTAAAACTGGGGCCGTCCTGGGCAAACGTGGACAAGGTGTCATTCTCCTCAGTAACTTGGCTAAGGTCACACTTCAGGGAGTGGTGGGGTGAATACTGACTCCAGCTCCAGTTTGACCCCGAAGCTCACGTACATAGTGACCACCCCGCGGGTGCCCTCGGATGTGCACAGTCCATGGAGAAATGGAGATGAGCAGGAGAGGCTGAAGGCAGGTCGGCGAGGAGGCTGGGGTCCAGGAAGAGATGGGAGTTGAGATGATCAGAAACTTACAACCGTCAGTAACCGTTTGGATATGAAGGGAGGAAGGGGCAGAAGTGGGTTGACTCCAGGGTTTTGGCTCAGGAGTGGGGTGGAAGCGATCCGGGTAGAAGAGGGTGATTCAGATTGGCTCTAGTGGGTATGCCATCCAGGTAGAAATGCTAGGACACGGTTGGAGAAGAATCTCGGAATTAGGGAATCCCCTTGGCTTAGCTTGTCAGAGCCCAGAGAAGAGTTAGAGGTTAAATGCCTCAGGATCAGTCAGGAAATCTGGTTGCAAGCAACACACATTGACTCAGATCAGCAAAGAGGGGGACTTTTTAATGAGGGTGTCAGGAGGCTCATAGAACCAAGTCAGAATACGGTGAGAAAGAGGGTAGGCTGAGTGGCAGGAATCAACTACCTCTGGTGGGGATGCCACTGCCACCACTGCCCCAGGCCTTGGCTGTCACGCTGCTGAGGCTGCCTCCACCGTCACTGAATAATGGACACCACTGTTACTGTTGCCACATTGTAAATAAAATGCTCTCCCCGTGCATTTGTATCAGTTGCTGAAGATTCCAATCCCCGGGCGTCTGATTAGCTGAACCCAAGTCACATGGCTCACGGCCACGTGCCAGGGGTGAAGAAAGCAAGTGTGTGGCTTTTGAGGTGTTCATAGTGGGAGCGAGTGCCCTGCTTCCTAAGCAAGATTTACACGTGGGTGACTTCCCATGTACAGAAAGGGTGGTCAGAAGTCAAAGAACCAAAGCGAATGGATGCTAATAAAATGCCTAATACCACTTCTGCGGCCGCCGGGTGCACCCATGCCATTGTGTAGGGGATGTTCAAAGAAAAATCCTGCCAGGTACAGAGTCGTCCGAAAGTGGCTCCCAAAAGTTCTCACGGGGTTGCCTGGGCACCGAGCCAGCTGGGTCATCGAGGAGGAGTGCCTCCTTCTTAGCTCCCCTGAGACCAGGGGTCCTTTCCTCCGCAGGAGAGGCTGTACCTTCCCCAGTGTCCCCAAAAGCAGGTGCAGTCCCCAGACAACGGTGAACCACACAGGCCACCTCAATCCCTTCTGCCTGGTGCCCAGTTTGTCGCTTCCCTTCATTGATGAGGCTGCTTTCACATGCTCCCCCACAAGAAGGGACAGTGATAGGTGTGGGGTCCTTCCCCCAGAACACAATCACTTACACTGAGAGTCCAGTAAATCATTGTGCCCTCACTCATTCCTGTGGGGTAGTGGTAGGATGGGGGGACCTGTGCGTTTTCTTCTCTCCCTGACCCTCGACTTGAACTTTACTCCCTACACGGTAAATCTTAGCCCAACCTGTTCTATGAGATGTCTTTGAGTTTTTCCCGAGCCCAATGAGTGAGGACCCCAAAGGGACCACCTTACCCTAACAATGCTTTGCCAAGGTCCTAGAAACCCCCTGTCCTCCCTGCCCTAATTACCATCTCTGCCCTATCTTCCTACCTGTCGATGCTATCTTCTTTGTGCTGCAACCTTTGGCACCCTAAATCCTTTCTAGAGGAAAAGCTTTCAAGAACTTCCCATCCACACTGAAGTTTCAGGGACTCAGTTAACTCCTCATGCGTATATCTGGGAAGCACAATCCTCAACAACTTCAAATAAGTACCCACGTGGCTTGGTGGCACCTATAGAGAAAAAAATATAAGTAGATTTGGTGGGGGCAGGGGAGGGAACGTCCCACATTCCCTTAAATGAAGTCCTGGAGCCCCTGCCTGTGGTAAGGCTGGTTCTAGAAGTCCTTCCCTGTCCTCCTTCCCTGCACTACCAGGCTGGGTGGTCCTAGAAGCCTGGACCCAGGCCACAGACCAGAGGGCTCAGGCCCAGTTGAAACAAGACAGATGTCTCCAGCACCCACTTGGCTGCCTCCTTGGGCACATCATCCAGGACTCCAGTGCCAGGATGGACATGTCCTTCCTCCCTCCCCATTAGACTGGAGCTCCCGAGAGCAGGGGCCCTGCTGGCATCCTCGCCGTAGTATCTGTAATGCCCAGCAGGCTGCCCTGTGTGGAGCAGGTCCCCGACAAAGTCACATGTCACCATTCAGAGGGAGGCAGCGTCTGGGGTTTATCCTTGGGTGGGGGAAGGCTCTCTGCATTTTTGGGAAGAGGGCCCACAGATTCCCAAGAGATCCCTGGTAATAGCTCCTACCCTACTCAGTCTCTGCAAATGTTGACCCACCCAGGCTGCCTCTAGGCCCTCGAGTGCCTTTGTGTAAATTATAAAAAGGTGCCTCCCGCTTAGATTTGTCTATTTATTAAACTGGGAAATTGTTTTACTAAATATACAAATCTAGGCTGTGATGTGAACGGTGACCCCCAGGGTTGTAAAGTGCACAACCTGCGCACCTGGACGCCACTCCCTCCTCCACCGCTCCCTCCTCGGTAGAAATAAAGTAGTGGGCCTTGCCCTCAGGTGCCAGGATCCTGTCTGCACATCATGCTCCCTGGTTCCCTCTAAGAGCCCAGTCTGATCTGGGGACAGTCTTTGATGACACTGTAGGACACAGGGGTGGCCTCCTGGGGCGGAAGCTTGGGCCGGGCCAGCTGGCACTGAAATAGTCCCCGGAAGGCCTCCCGGAAGCGCTGGGACATAAGGGCGTAGATGACGGGGTTGACCGCGCTGTTCAGATAGATGCAAAGCCGGCAGAAGAGAAGGAAGCCAAGGTTGACGTAGGGCGGGCTCAGGAAGGAATTCACCACCACCAGGGTGCGGTAGGGCAGCCACAGCAGAGCAAAAACCACCACCACCACAGCCAGCATCTTGGTGACCTGCCAGGTAGGACAGGAAAAAAAGGGACACAAGGGAGAATCCCAAGTTCCAGGCCTCTCTGCAGGGTTGCAAGAGGAGAAAGCCCAAAGAACATCCGGGCCTTTGCCAAACTGTGCCCTCATGCCTCGCCCCCTGCCTCCCCACCACTTCAATTCCATTCCCAGCTAGGAAACTGCTGTGCACCCCTGCAGGCCCTGCTCGAGTCCTTTTCGCTGGGGAGCCACCACCCCAATCCACCCCCAAAGCCCTTGGATGGGTCACCATCTACACTGGCAGCAGATTCATGAATCTACTGCTGTCATCACAGGTGAGGATTAGAGGAGTGAACCCAGGTAAGGAACACAGAATAGTGCCAGGAAGGCGATAAGTGCCCTGTGGCTGACTGCTGCTGTGGACATAGCCTCTGTTCCTTCCGGTACAAGTGCATGGGGTTCAGAGCCAGGCACAGCTGGGCTTAAGCTTGCTTCTCAGAGCCCAGGAATGTAGTCCCTATAAGCGACCTCTGCAACGAGGCCTGGCCCTGACTAAATCAGTAGACTTCAGGGCTGTGATAGTCCCCAGGAACCCCAAATCTCAGGAATTCCCTAGACAGTCTCGGCTCCTGGTTTTACCGGATTCAGATTTAATTCTACTCCATTTTAGGTTCATTTAGGTGATACACACTGGATGCCCGTGTGTGGGCTTTGGAGCCAGGCTGCCTGGGTTCAAATCTTGGTTCTAGCACTTACCAGTTCTGTACCCAGGGACTGCCCCTCTGTGGCTCAGTTTCCTCGTCTGTCAAACTGAGATGGTAACAGTCTATACGCCTTGGAGTTGTTACCAAAAACTCAACAGGCTAAGTTGTGTAAAGTGCCTGGCACATAGCGAGTCCCCAATAATTGGGGATGTATATAGTAATAATATAGTTATTATTATCAGCAATAGTATTCCCCACCCTGCTGTCCTAGACATTCTGCTTTCATGGGAGGCACCTTCCCTCTTGCTGTCGTAGGGGGCATTCTGCAAGGGCTCTCTTGGGCATCAAAGAATGCTCAGTCCTTAGACTGCCCACTGTCAAAAAAGACATTCATGTGCCAACAACAGGGTAATAACAGGTACCCTATATTGAACACTTACTATGTGCCAGATTTGGAATTCACTCCTATAATTCTAATAATTTTACAGGGTTGAAAATCAAGGCTTAGAGAAGTTAAGTGACTTACCCAAGGCCACGCGGCAAGATGTTAACAAAGCTGGGGGCCAGAAAGAACCCACCCAGGTCTGGAGTACTATTTGTACTAGCAAAAGTTTCATCTAAAGCATAGGCCAGCGGGGAGCTTGAGCCCAGCCCTTTCAGGCTGAGCAGGAAAGTAGTAAATGGAGAAGTAGATGAGTGGGGGGAGGGGAGGAGGGGCCTCTGTCTGGAGCCTCAGGTCATGATGGGCCTACAGCCAGAGCTAAAGGTCCACACCAGTTTAGCCTGTGTCCTGCCCCCCTTTCCTCTAAAGACCACCGTGTTTGAGGTGGCTGTAAGAGCCCCCCACAGTGTACCCACCCCGGGGGGAGGCAGGGAGAGGACACGGATGGTCCTCCCGGATGGTCCTCCCGGGCTCAGGAGTGACTCAGCAGAGTGAGGTAGCCTCCCCCCTCCTCCTCAAGCCGAGGGTATGGGCGGAAGGCTGAGGATTAAGACCGGTGGGGCTTGGGAGCCCTCCTCCCACCTGCAGTCCTTGAATACCCTTGGGAGGCCACACTGCTGGAGTACGGGTAGAGGACATAAGGAGCCTGGACACTTGGGTTCTCATCAGGTGCCTCCAGGTGTCACCTCACTCCCTTGTCCCCTCTGAGCCTGTTTCCTTATCTATAACAATGGGTGTTAAGCCTCCAAACAAGGGGTAATTTCAGGAATGATCATAGAACCAGGCATACAGCAGGTGCTCCATAAGTGCTGGGTCTCTGCTGACCTCACCCCAATCCATCCCCATCTGGTCTGTCTGGCTCCCCGAGGCCATCCAGGCAGCTCTAGTGTTAGCTGTGGCGTGGACTCGGGAAAGTCACTTCCCCTGTCTGAGTCTCGGTCTCCCCATCATTAGGAGAATACCACCGTGGGGGCCAGCCACTGGTTGTGCAAGTTGAATAATTGCCAGCACTGACTGAACATTTGCTTTGTGATGTGGCTTCAAATGGGCTCCAGACTTCACATGGTTCATCCCATTTCTCGGGACACCCCAATGTGGTCGGCGCTGTCATCACCCCATATGACAGAAGAGGAAAGTGAGGCTCAGAAAGGGAGAAGTGAGAGCTTCAAAAGTAAGCCTAGTAAGTGGCACGGCAGGGGTGTATACTTGAGGAATTTGACTCCAAAAGGGCCCAAGCTCCCATCCATTCCATCTGCTGGCTCAGTACAAGGGTTTCCAGGAAGACGGAGGTCCCCACCTGCTTCCGGGAGTCGAGGGCGCCTTTCTTGCCCCTGCAGGAGAAGCGCTGGTGGCCCGCGGGGCTGCCCTGGTGCGCAGAGCCCCAGTGCCCCGGGTGCGCAGGAGGCAGCGGCCGCGCGAAGAGGACGCGCGCTATGAGCACGTAGAACACGGTGGCCAGGCCCAGGGGCAGCGCGTAGAAGAGCGCGAAGTCCAGGAAGTAGACGGGCAGGTAGAGAGAGCGCGACACGCGGTAGCCGCACTGCACCTGCACGCCGTCGGCGTACGCGGTCTCGCGTGTGTCCACCAGGAAGAGCCAGAGCACGCAGTAGGCGCTGGTGCCCAGCCACACCAAAGCCGCGATGCGCTTGGCCCGCGCCACGGTGCACAGAGTTTGGGCGCGCAGCGGGTGGCAGATGGCGAGGTAGCGCTCCACCGTGAACGCGGCGATGGAGCCCGTGGACGTGTTGATGCCCACGTACTGCAGGTAGGTGATGCCCAGGCAGCCTGCGTGGCCGAAGACCCAAACGCGGGCGGACGCCGCCTCGGCGACGGTGGGCACTCCGGCCGCCAGGAGCACCAGCAGGTCCGCCGCGGCCAGGCTCACCAAGTAACAGTTGGTGGGCGTGACCATGTGACGGCCCCGGAGTACCACCAGGACCACCATGGCGTTGCCGGCCACACCCATGGCGCACACGAGGGGCACCAGGGTCAAGGTCACCGCTTGTACAGCCGGCGGAGGCTGGGGCAAGGCGCCCAGGCTCGACGCGTTCGCGCGCTCAGGGTGCTCGGTGTGGTCCTCCATGCGCGCGGGTCCGCCCTGCACCCCGAAGGCAGTGGCGAGTTGGGGGGATCACCCCGGCTGCAAAGGTGCCCTCCGGCGATCTGGAGGCGCTCTCCTAGCGGCAAGTTGGGGGTCCGGCAGCTGTCTCCGGCCGAACAGGTTTCTCAGCTCCGTGCAGGGTCTCACTGTCACCGCTCAGGAAGCTGAGGACTCCGAGGAATCAGGAGCAGGAACGTGGAGCTAGGCGCGTGCCGCTCAGTTTCCAAGACGACTTTTAAGCCTGAACTGGCGCGATCTTTCCCGGGGTGAGGTTTGCTGCAGGGGCGCTTCGCAGACTAGCGTGGCGCTCCAGGAGGGCACTGGGCGCCCAGACGCCGCCTCCCACAGGACCGACTGCGGCAGCCCTCTCGGGTCTTCCCTCCGCTCTCTAGGTTCGCGGGTCTCAGGACTCCGATCTGGGGTGTCCCGTCAACGAGGCGCGGTGTGTGGTGTTGGGTCTTCGCCTCGCTGGACTTTCTCTTGGCTCGGCTTTCCGCCACCACCCCGCGTCGGCTCTCTCCACGGATACCGCTGGGCTGATGCTGGTTGACCGAGCTCGGCACCCGTTCTTTCCCACCGGCTCCTGGCACCGCACCCCGGACACTTGGGGTCTGGGAGATGCAAGGTGCGGTGGGGGGTGGGGGGGAGGAAGGATGCTTTAAGCACCCTGCTCCCGCGCCTCTGGCCTGGGCTTTCGCTTCCTCCCCGCTTTCTCTCCTCTACAGGGCAGCTCCACTGGGCACTGGGGGAGGAGTCGGCCACCCATTGGTTTCTGGACTCAATCCAGAAATCCTATCTTGTTTCTGCCAGCAGAAACCTCAGCCCTGCTATTGACAAACGGCCAGCGGAGGCCTAGACCTGGGGGGAAGGGAAGGTATTTGCCCATCTAGACCTGGGTTGATCCCCTCTCCTCCTAAACTGGTTACTTTTCACTTTCTCCTGCTACCCTTTCCTAGTCTTCTTCTTTTTTTAATGTTTTTTTTTTTAATTTATTGTTGAAGGAGAGAGAGAGAGAAAGAGCATGAACGAGGGAGGAACAGAGAGAGAAGGAGACACAGAGTCCAAAGCAGGCTCCAGGCTCTGAGCTGTCAGCACAGAGGCCCCAAGTGGGGCTTGAACCCACGAACTGTGAGAGCATGACCTGAGCCGAAGTTGGACGCTTAACCGACTGAGCCACCCAGGCGCCCCCCTAGTCTTCCTTTCTTCCCCCCAGCAGAAGATCTGGAAATTCTTGGCGGGTGTGCCCCACCCTCACAAGGATCTCTCCCATCTCTAAGACTGTGCCACTCATGAGGCACAAACCAGTTAGGAATCCTTAGCTCTGTGTCCGCTGCAGAAAAGGTGCGTAATGGTAGTTGAATGAAAGAAAGAACTTGTTTCTTCCTGAAGGTGGAACCCACTAAGCTTCATGAAAGGGCTGCTTTCCAGGAAGTCTAGCACGGTGCCCGCACAGAGCAGATGCCGTGGGATTGTCTGCTGCTTCCAACCCATCGGTTATGCTCTTTAAAAATGATTTCTTCATCTGGGAGGCTTACATGAGTGACAGAGGAAAAAAATCCATGCCAAGTGCTTAGCTGTGGCTCGACTGGGGCAGGGGGTGAATATATTAAGTGATCACAGTTATGTTAACATGTATCCTCCCCCCTGCCTTATGTACGACCCCAAACTCTCAGTCTACCGATCTGATAAATGGACAAGAAATGAATGATGGGGAACTTGGCAGGACAGTATCTTGGGAGCACCAGCAAGACATCCCCCACTGTCAGTCTTTATAAGGAATGATGCTAGGGTATATGAAGCTCCTACAACTCTGCCTGGTGATGCTCTGTGTGCTTTACGCATATTAATTCATTCTATAATCACAATATCCTATTGGGACGTTATTATTAGATCCCCACTTCGCAGACAAAGAAACTGAGGCTTAGAGAGGTTAAATGACTAACATAGGTTAGTGGGGGGGGGGGTCGCTGCTAGCATTTTAGCCCAGTGGTTTGGCTGTAGAATCTCCATTCTTATCCCTCCCCACCCCCCACCCACCCCCAAACACACACACGCTCCACCTCTCGGCACTATACTCTTCTCTGGGATCTTCAGCAGTAACAATAGCAAAGCATCCTACTCAGGGTCAGACGTGGTGCTGTGTGTCTTATATTCATTATCTTTATTTCCCACACTGGCTACGCAGGCATTATTGGTCCCATTTTATAGATGAGGACGTTGAGGTCCAGAGAGGAATGGTCTCCAATGTGATGCAGGCGGGGGCCAAGCAGGAAACAGGACCCCACTCCCCTTATCCCCACCCAACCCCAGCGGTCCCTTACTCAGCTCTTTCCAGGGTACCAAGTGCCAGTGAAGCCCAGGGTTCCTCCTTCCCAGTCCAGAGAGTGGCAGTCCTCCCTGGCTGTGGTCCAGAGCAATCCTTTTAGCCCTATTAAATGCAAGTGGTTCCTTGGGCTTCTTGCCCTCTAAGTCTGCCAGCTCAGTTCTCTCTCCTGCCTAACTGAGCTGCTCAGTTGCTGGCAGCCAAGGGCAGTACCTGACAATGAACTAAGTACATCTCAAGCGGAACTCTTCATTTTCCCGCGCCCTACCTTGTCCATCTCCAGTCTTCTTCGCCTTAGTAAAGGCATCTTAGTGAAGGCGCCAGTCGCTGAAAGCAAATATTCAGGAATTATTTCTCTCTCTCCCTCACTGCTGACATCCAATACGTAAGCAAATCCCTCGATTCAACCTCCAAAACACACCTCACATTAATCCACCTTTCACCACCACGACCTCTTCCAGCACTTTCCTCCGTCTCTAACCTCTTGGTGGGACAACTGCCATTGTGGACCCATCCCAATTCCCATAGTGGACCTCCACTACGTTCTTGCCCCTCGCTCTACAGCCTCGTCATACAGAATCAAGTGATCTCTTAAAAATGTAAGCCATTCCCCTGCTTACACCCTTCAACAGCATCCTTTTGCACCTAAAATGAGCCCAAACGCCTTCTGTGAGCCCTAGAGTGCCCTGCACGAAGCGACACCTCCCCACCTCTCCCTCTTACTCAGCCAGAGCCTCTATATTTCTATCCAGCTTATCAGGTGTGATGGTTGAATAGTGTCCCCCCAAAGTTCATGTCTCCCCAGCACCCCAGAACGTGCCCTTATTTGGCAATCGGGTCTTTGCACATATAATTAGTTAAGGTGAGGTCATCCTGGACCAGGGTGGTCCTAAATCCAATGTACGAGGTCTTCTTCGGGCACTACGGCTACAGCCAAGGAAGTAGCTAGGAGAGCCGAGGAAAGATTCTTCCCTTGACCCTTCAGAGGGAGCATGGCCTCATTGACACCTAGACTGCAGACTTCCAGCCTCCAAAAACTGTGAGAGAATAAGCTTCTGTTATTTTAAGCCCCTCAGTCTGTGGTGATTTCTGACCGCAGCCGTGGAAAGCACCTTCCTGCCTTGGAGCCTCTGTACTTTGTACATGATTTCCTCAGCTCAGTGCCCAGCCCAGATGCCCCCAGTCGTGGGCATGTGGTTCCTAGGGTGGGAGCGAAGGTCATGCCAACCGATGGGGAAATAGAGGCTCCATTCACTCAGTCATTCAACAAATATTGCTATGGGCCTAGACACATTGTAGAGGTGTTTTGTTTTTTGTTTTTAGAAATAAGTTTTTAAAGTTTACATATTTATGTGGGGATGGGGAGGGGCAGAGAAAGAAGGAGAGAGAGAATCCCAAGCAGGTTCTGTGCTGTCAGTGTGGAGACCGAAGCAGGGCCCGATCTCACGAACTGTGAGATCATGACCCGAGTTGAGATCAAAAGTCAGACACTTAGCCAACTGAGCCACCCAGGGGCCCCCCATTGTAG